ACGGGAGCTCAGCAGGGACATGTTCTTCCCCTGCTGGCTGGTGATACAATGAGTGCTGCCTTCAGCTGAGAGAGCGGGGCATTAACTGGTTTTAAAAACAACAAAACGGAAAGAGGTGTGGATGGAGTGAGGAGTGTGGCACTCAGTCTGTCTGCAGGTGGAGCTTGGGGAACTCCAGCAGTGGGAGATTCACCTTGAGGAACACCAGCTGCTGTACCAAACCAAGATTCAAGGAGGTGCGGTGGGGTGTCACAATATCCCCAGCAATGCTGAACACCCTCTTGCTTGGAACATTGGTCGGTGAGCAGGACAGGTGTTCCCAGTCAACCATGGCCAGATCCAGCCACAACTGGCTGCCTGTTGCCCAATAGGCCAAGGGGTCGCAGTCCAGCAGCTCCACATCCTTGGCAAGATAGGTAGCCACCAAAGCCCTGGTGCTGCCTGACTGAGGCTGGGGTCTGGTGTGTCTGGACCCCACCATTGAAGCCATGCCCTTGGTCCACTTTGGCAGCAGCTGGCTTGGAGGAGATTGGCTGGTTCTGGTGCTGGGAGTGCTGGCATGGGAAAGTGGATCCACCTCTTCCACATCCCATCGCCTCTGCCCTTCTGCCTCCCTGATTCTGTTCACCAGCACCTCCATCCAGCGATCAAGGGGTTTTGGTGCTGCCGTGCACGTGCTCCCCTTCACCCTTGGGTCACATGCCCACCAACTAGTGGGCTGTACTGGACCGCAACAGATCCAGCTGCTTCTTGATGCCATCCTTCAGCTGCCTCACCAGTGTCTGCACATCTAGTGACAGTGGCTTGCCTCAGCCAGGAATATTGACCCCCTGGAACTTCTCCATTTGGTTCTCAAGTTGCCTCACTATGGGGATCATCTGGCTAAGGAGGGCATTGCCAGTGCTGAGGGTCTCAGTGGCCTCGAGGAACAGCTTGAGGACCACCAAGATCTGGGAGTTGGTGTCCCACTCCACTTTGTTAAGGTGGCTGCTGATTCCAATCTTCCCAAGCTAGGCCATCTCATGGATGGCCTTCTGTTACTCCACCAGCCTTTCCAGCATCAGGTATGTGGAATTCCACTTAGTCTCCACATCCTGAATGATTTTGTGCTGCAGGATGCTCCGTTCTGGCTGTTTCTTCTGCAGCATCTTGCCCCACTTGATGCTGTGGTGGAACTAGCCCACCACCTTCCTGCATTTTGAAATCAGCTGGGTGGTAGTGATGGCGCCATCACCAGCAGCCCTGTCCCCTTCCAAGGCATCTCTGACAGTGAGGTACAGCTTGTGTGCCACACAGTGGATGCCAACAAAGTTGGCATCACGGACTGCCTTAACCATATTGGCCCTGTTGTCTATGACCATTAACCTGCGGGTGAGCTCGCCCTGCCCAACAAGCCACCCCTGCATCATGCAGTTCATGGCCACCATGATCTCCCTTGCCATGTGGGACTCATTCATAACCTCGGCTTGAAGGAGAGCCCGCTGACAGCCTGACTGGTCACACCAGTGCCCTGTGAGGGAGAGGTAGACATGATCTCCACCCCCGGCTGCTCCAGGTGTCAGAGGTGAAGTGCAAGGAGCGACTTCCCTTTGGGCATGCTCCCACTGATGCCAGGCTGAGGAGGAAGAAGGGCAAGGGGGTGCTGCCTTCTCAGATTCAGCAGCATTGCTGTGGTGGTGAAGTGTTTCATCTCCTTGCCCTAGCTGATCTGCCTTTGGGAGTGCTGACAGATAGCATACTTAGGATCATCTGCTACCACAAAATGATCCCAAACTACACTACCCGCCCCCCCCCCCCCCCTTCTGGGTTGAGGGTGGGGATCCCGCCTGATCCCTCTCCTCAGCAGGAAGAGGCAGAACAGCAGGGGAAGCTGAGCCACTTGCCCCCACAACCACCTCTGAGGTGCCTTCTGGAGAAGGTGACCTGGCTCTAGAGGAACTTTGAGGGGTGTGGAGCACAAACTCAGATTCCCCCTCAGTCCCCAGAATTTCTTTTGCTAGGGTGCTCAGGTCCCCTGGATCCAGATCCAGCTCCTCCTCTGGCACTTGGGAGGCTTATGCTGGGAGATGAAATTAGGGTGGAGGAGACCATCATTCTGCTGCTGGTGGCTATTTCTGATGTTAGGGGAGGTGGTACAGGTGCAGGGACAGGTATTGCTCCCACCTCCTTGCTCCCATTGGCAGCAGAAGACTCATGGCTGTCAGGAAAGAGGATGTGTGTTTGTGTATGTGGTGGGACTTGCAGTTCTAGCTCTCCCCCTACCCCTTCTAGCCCCCCTCTCTCCCCTGTCAGAAGACCTGGCACCTGCTTTTCAAGCAAGCTTCATATTAATCTTTCCTGTGCTGGAAAATGTCTGTCTGTGTGTGCAGTTGTAATATCTCTTCTTCTTTTCTGATGTATGCCTGTCTGACTACTTCTGTGTTTTGTTTACTGTATGTGTGTGTAACTACAGTAATATCTCTTCTTCTTCCTGTGTATGCGTGTGAGTGTGTAATGTATGTGCTTTCATGCACAGTGATGGATCACACTGCCAAGGAGAACACAGCTTTCTTTTAAAAAGTGTGGGGGAAAAACAAACAAACAAGAACAAATAAGAGGTTTTTGGGGGAAGAAAAAGTTGAAAGACATTGATTGGATAGGGATAAGTAGAGTGATTCTAGTTAGTAAGCTGTATCCAATCCTTTCCAAGAACAAAAACTAGCAGGAGTCTGACTAGGTAGGAATCCAAGCCAGTCCAGTACCTTTCAGACGCTGTTGCTATCTTAAAATGAATTGGGTAAAGCTTTTTTTCTTTTATGGCAGTTGCCTCCAACTCCTACTGCCTTTAAGCCACCTTTTATGAGTCCTTTCCTAAGTCTGCTCCTTACTCTTTCTCTTTTCCTCTTTTCTTTGCTGAATTTTGCAGGAAGACAGGCTTGATGAATTTAGCCAGTTTTTCTTTTAGGGCACCACCCTTACCTATTCAAAAAGCCATGATCTAGTTAAGCTGCTGCACAGTTTTGCTTATAGAATACTGCTCTTCTTTAATTCTCTTCCTTCTGCTTTTCATGCTTTAATTCTGCATTTATGAACATTTTAAAGCAGGGGCATTATCTTATTACTTGTTCTCTATGAGATGCATGCTATGCCTGTAGATGTGGCATGAATAACAACCATTATTTTATCTAGTAGATTGATTAAAGACCTTTTAAGCTGGTGGCCTTTAAAATGCTTCACTCCTTCTAGCTAATCTTACGAGAAATCCGCTATTGTAAATGAGCTTGTATTTAAAAAACTACCCACTCATCCTCAAAAATGAAGTTCTAATTTAAATGATTCCCCATCAACTTTCTTTCATTCAACATTCTCACTTTATCCTGTTTTTTCTTTGATTTTCTACCTCTTTAATTCTTCCTTTCCCTCAGTACAGATGCTTAGTAGAAACCATATGAAGCTTTCTGCCTCAGCAATGGCTTATGTTTTTTCTTAATTACAGCTGATAATTGGATCTGTGCAATTTAGCAAATGTGAAAAAGTCCTATTTAGTTAGGCTAGAAGGTGTAAAGCTCAGTACATTGTTTCCTTTCAGAAGCAGATTGCTTTGCTGACATGCATTTCTTACCTTGTAGTTTTTTATTGCTTTTACATACATATAAAAAGTTAACAAGTTAACTTTACCTCTCCATCTGCTCTCAAAATCATACATAATTAAGAATCTGTAATTACTGTAGGTATTAATTTCTAGGAATTTTAGTCTGTTTGTTTGCCTACTGTTGTTTTTTTTTTAACTTTTTTTTTTTTTTAAAGTCCCTGTTTTGTATAACTAACCAATGTTAGACTGTCAACCTCAGCACCAACTATTTATATTATCTATGTAAAGTTTCTTCACAGCTTAAACTTGGTATAGATAAGTTTTTGGCTTCCATAAGGGGCTGTTTAGGAAAATTTGGTTGATATTGTTTGCTTGCTGCTGGTTGGCTATGTATGTATTCTGGCAGGGCTCAACCCCTGTATCTTCCATTATAAATTGCTTATAACTTTTCCAAATGTTATATTTTGGGGTTTAACTACTGAGTTACTGCTTCAGGTTGAAGTTTTTATTTGGGTCCAGCCATTTTCAAGAATGAGGCTAGGAGGAAATAAGTCATTCTGACTATCTTAAAAATGTCGATGACTTTCTGTTTTGAAAAAGCTGTAGTACCCCATACTGTGGGGTGGGGGTGTACTTGGAGGTCAGAGCTGGGGAGACCAATAGGCTGAAAAGTTGGGAGGGAGAGCTAGGGTATGAGAGGGCAAGGAGCTGTGCAGTGAAAGGTTGGGGGGTGGGCAGGGAATAGAAAAGAAATGTTATCCTTTCTGTTTGCTGAATGGAGGAGGGACATTGGAAAAAATAGCATGCAACTATCTAAAGTAAAGACTTTGTCATAAGACCTATGCACAGGAAACCCTGATTCTGGCATTTTCTAACTTTTGTGTGCTTGATCATAATAATAATAAAAATATTTTAAAATAATTTTATTATTTTAAATATAAATCTACAAGTGCAAGTTCTTGCAAGTGCAGGGAAAGTGGCATCACTACCTCAGAAACAAACCCTTGCACTCAAACTCTTCAGATTAATGACATCTTGTTTGCTGCCTCTTCTTAGCTATAGAAAGGCTTATGCAGGAGCCTTCCAGGAAGCATGTTCCTAGCCAGTGAAGGGGTCTAGTTCACCCATTTTAATTGACAGTCAATTCCCTTTGAGTCTTTGGCCATGAACAGCCAGATCTGATTCTGGTATTTTCACTATACTAGACTGAACCTGAGCACACTTTTCTGGTATGTACAAATGTATGCAACCACTTGGACTCTGCCCCAACTTTATGGGACTTGTGAAAAGTCACCGAGTGCCCTTATTTCATCTGATCTAGGTGAAACACTTGTATGTGCTCCAAGCAAATATTTAATGCTATTGTGTTAAATTAATGTCTTTATTCTTCTTTTTGTGATCTAATTCCATCTTTTTCCTGTCCATCTAGCATGTCAGGGAGATTGTCCATCTCCTTTTAATTCATAAGGCAAACCCTAACGTTTTGTGGAGCGGGCATTCGCCCCTGTCCTTAGCAATTGCCAGTGGGAATGACTTGGTGAGTGTCTTCTACTTTTTTAAAATCTGTAGTAGTTTATTTTTCAGCAAGCAGACAAAATGTTTAAACATTGGTGCATGGGGGTGCAGGCATGCAGAGGCAAGTGGCAGAAGGGGCAGGTGCTGGGTAGGCAGGCACTGTGGTGGGGGCAGGCGCTGGGCATGGGAGTAGGCAGTAGAGGGGGTAGTGGTTGGGGAACAGGTGGCAGAGGGTCATGGAGCGGGGCCCAGGCCACTTGTCTCCCCTGCCGCCCTTGTCTCCCCTGCCGCCTGCCCCCCTGCACTGTTTGCCCTGATGCAGGGAAAGGGAGACAAATTTTAAGACAACTCTCCATTAATTATGTGCTATACATGGAAAATGTATAACAAATTTATAAATTTTCTATATCTAGAATCTAATTATTGGGAGGGTCACCTTATATTTTAAATTGTCTTGGATTCGGGTAAATATGGCAGCTTGGTTTGGAATGATAAACATGACATTATTTAAAAATGCTGTACTGGCTGTGCCTTTTACAATATTTCTATATAAATGCACAATTCATGAACTGATATAAAACCGTCTGAGCTGAGCATTTGCACAAATAATGCTTCTTGTCCTGGATCCTTCCACCTAATTCTTGTTTCATGTTTCATAGACTTTCATAGATTTCATAGACATGAGGGCTGGAAGGGACCT